GATATACTGTTTTTCATTTATTCAATGTTAAAAACGATAATACTTTACTGTGATTTATAGATCACAGCCAAGTATTATCAAGACTGCTTTAATCTTTCTTCTCGACCACAGGACGCTGAGTGGATGAAGTTAAATGGTTTTATTTTTTTTGAACTACTAATTCCAGGTGTGCTCATGATCTCAATTGCTCAAAGAGGTGCATTAAAAGCTATTATCAGAAATATCACAAAAGATTCTGTGAGCAACGATTGAGCACATGTGAAAAGATGACGAGAACACACCAAGGAGGTGAAAGGGCTTGAAATAGACTTCAATATTTGAGATTCAATGAGAATCGTAAATATATATGTCGTAGCCGATTATGAATGAAATTTTTTGGCAAATCTTTCTAGTGGAGCAACCCTCTAATGTATGAGGACAATATTATATAATTTTGTAGCGAATTAAATTCTGCGTCGATTGGTACCAAATTTGTGAGTTTAGGTTAAAAATTGCCGGCGCTACAACGTTTCATTCAAAATCGGCGAAACTCTCGTAGCCGATTATGAATGAGTGGGTCCGGAGGCGTTCAACCATCAAGTATTTAGTATCATTCAACGCAGAATCATTGATAATTATGTTAAATTTTTTAAATTAGCAAGATTTGATAAAAAGAAAAAAAATTAGAACACAAAAACTGTTTGTTCAAGAGAAAACTTTGACGCCCCATAATTTTTTTTCTTTTTATCCAATCTTTCTAATTTAAAAAATTTAACATAATTATTAATGATTCTGCGTTGAATGATACCAAATAATTGATGGTTGAACGCCTCCGGACCCACTCATTCATAATCGGCTGAAATTCATAATCGGCTACGACATATACAAAGAAATTCCTATCGCGTTTAATAACTTAAATTATAATTGATAAATAAGTTAAATAAAGTGACTATACAACTTAATTGAGGTCCTCGTGGCTGCAAAAACGAGGCCACGAATCAACGTTGGAATTACGTGAAGGAAAAGTGCCCACATCTTGAAATCAAATGATTTTCAAACACTATAGATCAAAAAATTTTGTCGATAGATTTATTCTTTCTATCAAATCATTGTTTTCCCGTGCGTTCATCACCGATCTTTGTCTTTTAGCTCAAATTCTCTCTTAATGAACGCTTGCTTTGTTTTTAGCTTTCTTTTTGAGTTGAAGTTGCTTTTTTTGTATAACTTTGAAGTTAAAATATGCTTTACTAACAATCAAGAACAACAATTTGACTCCTAGCTGTTGTTGTTTCGTTTAAAGGCAATAGTTGCACGATTTGGCGCACAAATTGCGGCGATGGGGCCACGAGTATTGAACACATCTAAAAAAGCATCATAAAAAAGCTTTTACAAAAAAATAGCAACATTATCACATCCCAGAGTGGTGAAGCCAATGAACTTACTCCTCGTGGGGATTTGAGCTGATATCAATACAGTAGCATTTGTTCACTCCATCATCGTTATAAAATGTGTAGTCCTTGGGGCAACGGGCAGCGATAGCCACTTGAAATATTTATTTATAATTTTTCTTTCTTGAATTTCTTCTATTGATATAATGCTATGTAGAAAAGCTAAAGAATTACTCTCACGTTTATTTTGTAGTTATAAAATTTATTGGTTTTGCTTACTAAAATACGTTAACAACTTGATGACAGGAAGACCCGTTTTCCTTCAAAATTTCTTACTTTTTTTTTGTTTTCAAAGATCCGCTAGACCAAGGAAGAGCCCAAATTTGTTAGAATACAGCGTTTTACGATTTCTTTCATTTCTTTTTTGAATTTGAACGCACATCCTCTGACAGTCGAGTTGACGGTTTCGGGTTTTGGTGCATAGACGGCCTCTGCCACATAGCATTCATCGTTTGTCCCGTCATTGAAACACGCATAATAACCACATGGTTTCCCGTTTCCATAGTTATTTTCGGGATTTCGACCTGAATAAATGTTTTGTGTTTTAGTTGTTTAAAAATTTTAACTCTATTGTTAACATCTGAATTTACAAAAGTTGGGGTTGGTTTTTACCTAGGGTTTAGGGTAAACTGTAAACTACGATTGAATGGCAATCGTAGGCAATCGTAGGCAATCGTAGGCAATCGTAGGCAATCGTTTAGGGTAAACCACGATTGAATGGCAATCGTAGACAATCGTTTAGGGTAAACTACGATTGAATGGCAATCGTGGCGGCGTAGGTAGCCCAACCTTAAGCATCCAACCCAGCTAACCCACGAGGGGTTCTTCAAGAGGATTGACAATCAAGTGGCCGAGCAAGATGCTAGCTGCAACATGACCAACGATGTTGCCGAGAAGTCTTTGGCAAATCGGAGCACTATCCGCGAAAAAGCGACAATGTTTCGATGTTCAAACAAAGCTGAAAGCTCGATTTTGCCAAAAGAATGAAGGATAAATTTGGAGTCAATCGTCAAAATATTCAACAATGGTGCCAGCAAAAGGAAGAGCTCGAGAAACAAAGCAAAGAGTTGTCTATTGAAACTCTGAATCGCGAATAGAAATGAGTAATTTTTTTTTCTGAAAAACCTTTTGAAAGCACAATTGTTTTTAGGTTGATGATTCTGTTCATTAAACGATTCGATTCAATAAAACATTGAAGAGACTAGAGATTATTGGTCAATTTTTATCCTCAATTTGTTAATGTTTTGTTTTGTTCTATTCATTGAAAAATGTGGCAAGAGATTACTGATCTTGAGCTTTTTTTGAGCTCTCTCAGCAATAAAAAAACTTTATTAACTCATCAAATTTTGAGTAGCTTAATCAAATGGTTTTTGTTGCTTGCTTGTTTGGGTCCAATTTGATCCTTCTTGTTGCAGAAATCGCCAGGGCAACAGTTGACCTCGTAGTTGTCGCCGCTGTACTAAAAATTGCTTGAGTTTTATGTGTTATTTGTGTCAAATATTTTTATTCGTGTTTAGTCATAATTTCGCTATAAAATAGCTAGCTATAAAAGCTATCTAGCTATAAAATCCCTGACCAGACATCCATTAAAAAGTTCTCCAGTCTGAGTGGATCCACAACCACAACCCCAATAGTATAAACCCTGAAAACAAGGAGATTTCATCAGAAAAAGCGAAACTCTTTACATTGGAGAAAAACGAGGCACAGTAATCACCGCATACACATTTCATCGATGGCTAAAATGTTGGTTTATGTTTAGATTAACTACTGTAAATGAGTAATGATACCGAATTAGGTGAAAGTTTTGGACTTGCTCCAATTTTGACAACACAGTTGATAGCTAGGGAGACTTGAATCAAGAAGGATGCTACGAGGATGGATTTCATCTAAATTACAAATCTATTTTTTATTTTTTTGTTTTTTTTTTTCTATTTTTTCCATTTTTTTCATTTTCACCCTTTTCCCCATTTCCCCATTTTCTTTCTTAAAAAAAAAAAAAATTTTAAAAAAAAAAAAAAAAAAAAAAAAACAAAAAAAAAAAAAAAAAAAAAAATCTAAAAAAAAAAAAAACCAAATTTCATTTTCAAAAATCCCCTATTTTAAAAACTTAAATTTTTTTTTTTTTTTTTTTTTTTTTTTTTTTACTTTTTTTTCTCTCCCCCCTTCTTTTTTTCCCCCAAAATTATTTTTTTTTTTTTAAAATAAAAAAAAAAAAACCCCCCCCCCCCCCCCTTTTTTTCTCCCCCCCCCCCCCCCCAAAACAAAAAAAACCCAAAAAAAAAAAAAAAAAACCCAACCTCCAATTAAAAAAAAAAAAAACCCAAAAAATTAATAAATTTTTTTTTTTATATTTTTTTTTTTTTTTTTTTAAAAAATTTTTTTTTAAAAACCCCCCATTTTTAATTCACCAACCTGTACAATTGTGATAAAATGGCTCAAAGTTTGTCGCCACCCCAGAAATACGTTAATTTTAAACGGAATCCGTCGTTTTTATAGGAATCTCAATGTCATAGCATCATTCGTTATTCTATTATGCAATAATTGTTTCAAGAAATTGTATAAATTAGTATTAGCTAATTGCTTTATTGTAAAGAAAAACACAAGACGAATGAAACTAGAAAAAAAAAGTTACCTTTGAGTGTTGATTGAATAACTTTGACTTGAAGTTGTCGATTTCTTCATAAAACACATGCTTTTTATTAGAAATTTGCTATTGAAACGAAATTTGTAAATAAAATGAGTTATCTTCTTTGGAAATCTTCATTTTTGATCATGAACAATTGATTCTATGAAACAAAAAAATCGAAAACAAAACGCATTCTCGAAAAAGAAACTGATGGTCATGATGGTGATTCACTATTTGATTCTATTAAAAAAGAAAATTGAAAAGTTCATAAATTATGTCTGCAATTGTTGCAATTGTTACTTTCTTGACTTTAATCAATTTTACTTTCTTGTAAATTGTAGACTATTGATAATTCGTAAATAATTCGTAAGATGTATTTTCGATAGCTGTTATAGGAGAAAATCGACAGTATCCACTTTTAACAAGAAAAATTATTTCCTAAAGCGCATCCTGTACGATTCAGTTAGCTTTTTAGCGAGAATTAAGTTCAGTTGAAAGAAGTACTTTGTTTTTTTTAAAGTTTAAGACAAAATCAACCCAAAGTTGTTATCAACTTTTCAGAATATTATTTCATTCGCGTTTACACCATCTTTAACAAGTGTTTCAAATCAAATGCGTTCATGCTATGACTTGAGTTGGGACGCTATGACTTGAATTTTGATGCTATGACTCGAATTGGGAGCTATGACTCGAATTGGGACGCTATGACTTGAATTGTGATGCTATGACTTGAATTGGGACGCTATGACTTGAATTGTAACGCTATGACTGGAATTGTGACGCTATGACTTGAATTGGGACGCTATGACTTGAATTGTGACGCTATGGCTTGAATTGTGACGCTATGACTTGAATTGTGACATCTGTTTACATCTAGTAGATGTTAATTGCCTTGTCTTCATATGTTTATTCATATTATTTATTGTTTTCAACAGCGCTTTCGATCAACACCCGTAGCCATGGCATGGTCCTTGACAAACCGGGATACAATAGTCGACGCCGTAGCTGCTCTTGCATTGAGTTGTACAGTAGGCTGTTGGACACGGATTTGGGTTACACGCACTCCCACCTCCATACTAAACATCACAAACGATTGAGGTTATGTTAAGAAATTTGAGAAATGCACTAAAGCACTATCTGTTGGTGCTAACTTCTTTCATAGAAACTCATGACATTTTGACTGTTAAAAACCGCACTTTTTATAACTGTTGCTAGTCAAACCTGCATAAAAACAAAAACAAAATGCATAAAAATGAACCTGCGCTTTTCCAGCAGGAAGCCCATCAACGGGAAGTGCAGTTGTGAATGAGAGAAGGAGGAGAGAGGCGGCGAGCAAAACGGCGATCAGTTTGAACATTCTGAATATAGGCTGTCTCGAGAGAACACAATTATCGGATTGAGATCGAATAATTAGGGAAAATTCTACTGAAATCCAAAACAAAATCTGACCAAAATTGATCAGCGTTTCCTTGAAAAAAACGGGATATTTTTTTAAACAAAGGCGAGTTGAAAATCTCTTATGTACAGCAGATTATCATCTAATGTAGATGAATAAAGTTTTTAGATAAAAATCTTAGTTTATATATTAACTCTCATATGACACCATTGAATGCTAGTAGAAAGTTTTAATTTTATGACAAAAGTCTCATGGTGGTTGTGACCATGGTGGCTCAGAAATTTCTCGTATAAAAGGGTGGTGCATAATAAACACTATTAGGATAACTTAAAACCAATAAAGTGTAAAACAATACACTTTATTGGTCAGCGTTTCCTTGGAAAAACGGGGGACTTCTTTAAACAAAGGCGAGTTGAAAATCTATTATGTATGAAAGATTATCATATAATGAATTAAGTTTTTAGCTAAAAATCTTAGTTTATATAATAACTCTAATATGACACCACGATGCCAGTAAAGAGTTTTAATTTTATGGCAAAAGTCTCATGGTCGTGGCTCGTTGCCCAAAGTCGTGGCCCAAATGGTGGCACCACAAAATTCCCCGGTCACAGACTCCGAATTTTTAATCCTAAACGCTTTGTGACTAGATGGAAACGTGGTGGCTCAGAAATTTCATGTATTGGAAGTCATGATATGGTAAAAATCATGAAAAAACATCTAAATTTCGTAAAAAAAATCATTTTCGCACCATATCTACTACCATGAGCCACCTGAAATATTTTTAAAATTTGACCCGGTTTTTTGGGACCTCCTGTACGTTAATGTACGTAAACGGGTGCGGATTTATAACCGGAAGTACTCAATCTTTAACAATTTATTGATGGAAAAATAGAAAAAATGATTAGACAAAAAGATTTCTAATAAAAAAGGCAGCTGTTTTTCCTTCTGGCCCATTCACCGACTCATTTAAGTACAAAATTTCCGGTCACAGACTCCGAATTTTTAATCCTAAGGGCTTTGTCACTAGATTCTTCGATAATTTGTTCACATTGCTTTGTCACAAAGTATCAAGAGCAGAGACTGAGCTGATCAACGATTTTCTGTGCACTTTGCTGTGGAGTGATGGGCGAGGGAAGTTGATAAGAAACGATTTCACTTAATCCCCGACTGATCTCAACTTTTAGAGTTTGTGAGCCTATTCTACATCTGCACGAAAATGTGTTTTCTATAGCATTTCTATTTCTCTAGAACTTTCATATTTTTATGGACGCAGAAAAATATGCTGAATCCGAAAATGAACTCAAACTAATTACCTTCTTCCTCGGTTGAATTCTTATCAATTTTCATAGGTTGTGTACTATCAATTTTCGTTTCTTTTTACGTAAAATCGAAGGGATCGTTTCGTAGGAAAGATGGAATTTGTCGGCTAATTCAGAAACGGCCCTATCCTTTGATTTTTGATTTTAGAATTTTAAACTGACGCATTTTAGAATTCAGCTACTTAGTGAAGCTACTTAGTGAAGCTACTTAGTGAAGCTACTTAGTGAAGCGTGGAAAGCCGTAATGTTTGTTTGTTTGTTTGTTTGTTATGGTGATTTTTGTAGTCTATAGTGCCCATGTCTAGTCTCACTTGCTCAGAGCTTTCCCATAGTTGATTGCTCACAGCTTTCCCATATCCGAAAGAGAATCACTCCCGTGTACGCATAGAAAAGCACCAATGAGAACATGGCCGCAATAATAAATATCGATCGAACCAGTTGACATAAAAACAGTTAACATCAACATATTAAGAGTCGATTTTCTCCGCTAAACACACAATTGAAAAGCTCAAAAGGTCGACAAACCAGCTATTGTGAAAAACCGCAAGATGAAAACAATGTATCCAAAAAAAATTATACTATTAGGTTGAGGAAGTCCTGACTCAGCTGCGAAAAATTCAATTTTTAATTTAATAACAAAAATAAGAACAACTATTCCTCAAAGTATAGCCCATCATTAGCTACGACTTTCTGCCATCGATCTGCAAGCTTTCGGATCTGGTCGAAGCGCCACTCCTTCGGTTTCGAATCAAAGAACTCTTGGCAAGCTTCTTCAACATCTTCAACTTCTTCAACTTCTTCTAATGACTTCAAAAGACATCATCATCATCCAACTTTGGCGGTCGACCGGAACGTCTTCAAGGTGAGTCTTCAAGGCTCGTGTCACCGGAAGCAAAGCACCTGTACCGCTTGAAACTTTTTGATTGACTTACTCCCTTCACCTTCAGCATCGAAAATCTCTTTGGTTTTTATTGATTCCGGAGTAAAAATCAATAAAGATGTTTATCGAAAGGAAATACTTAAAGATATCGTTCTTCCCTGGGCCCAAAAGCAATTCGGAAATCAAGTTTGGACTTTTCAACAAGACTCCGCACCTTCCCATAGAGCAAAGAACATGCAGGACTGATGCTATGCTATGCTATGCTCCGGGAAAAGTTCTAGCGGCGTCACTGATCTTTACAATAGCACCTTTGATCTTTCCGGTAAGTCGTCCATAGTTTTCTAAGCTCTGCATCCGGGAAAAAGATGGACAACGATAAACGGATTCGACTCGAAAGATGTTAATCACTTCGAAAACGATCAAAAATTGGTTACAATTGACACTTGTTAAATGCTATTTGTTACTCAAAATAAAGTCTTCGGGCTGTAGCCGAGCATGCCTAAAAGGTTTGTGGCCGGAGCCTAGTCTATTTGTTGATGTTCTTGATACGATTCTTGTGGTGACTATCCTCAGCGATTGGGCGAAGTCTTCCTATGATTTCTGCACTATTGACCCCTTCTCATCTAGTGATCTGCCTTTGCGCCAGGTGGACGGGTCATCCACCTTACTTTGCAACACGATTGACCAGAATGAAATTCTTTCTCACTTCTCTCATTTTATACCACCAAAGCCGCGTTTTAGGAAAGGCGTCAAACAGCCTACGGTAGAATGTACAGAAAATCTCAATTTTCAGAGTCCTAACAAAACTTTAGACGTTTATAACTTTAGACGCTTATAACTTTTGACAGAGTGTCGTTTAACAAAAACGGAAAGCAGATTCGGAATCAGCTTGGAATTCTGCGTCAAATGGTACAGGTTGCATGTCATTTGGCCGGCTCAGTCAGTTGATCTTCCCAGTTGATCTTCCCAGTTGATCTTCCCTTGTCAGTCATGATCTTAATTGAAATAAGCTCAAAATAAACAAGACTTTTTCTAGCTTTATTATGAAAATTTGCAATTTTGATATATTCTGAAGCACTTTTGAGTCCTTTTGAGTTTTAAAAAGAAAGTTTTTCTTTCCATTTTCATTTCACCGACCGTTGCCCCCGACAACCGCTTTGGAAAACAGGGAGACTCACAGAAATATATTATCTTACCAAAAGAAAACTTTTTGAGCTTCTCTTTATTTGCTTAAATGTTGCCAATTACCCATTTCCCATTATCTTTCATTCCAAAAGAGCTAAAAAGAAAAATTCTTGATTTTGTTTTACCACCAGAAGCCGTTCAATGCTTGAAAGCAAATAAATCTCTTCGAAAACATTACTTATTACGTGGAATACTACCAGAACAAATTGTCAGTCTCAATTTAAATTTCGATCTAACAAATGAGTGCCCTATCACAATGTCTGAAGGGATTTTTGCGAATGAAAACAAGAAATTCAGTCTAATCAATCTGGAGAACTTGATTCCCTTTGAGACTCGATATTATCGCCTCGTTTTGTCAAAGATTCGTTCTTGTAAATCGTTGAGACTCAATTTCTGGCTTGACAACATGCCAGTGAGTCGAATGATCGAATTTTTGCGCGTTTTGGATTCCATTCGACACGTGGCCAAGTTGGAACTTCAAGAAACTCAGCATTTCTACGGGGTAATCCCGGTGGAGAAAATCATTGTCGACTGGAATCCAGCGATGTCGGTTGATCAAGAGATATCCATCAGGCCGCATAAAGTGTTGGCAGTCGAAGAATATCGGAAAGTTTTCGAGAAAGCGGCTTTTAGCAACTGTAGCCTCAAGATCTCCACTCACGAATTTGCCATCAAAGAAAAATTCTTTCACGTTCTCACCAATATGCGAACAATTTTGCGGAATGAGTTAATTATTTTCGTCTTCTCACTGAAGTGTGACGATGATATCGGAAATTTATTCCAGATTACTGTTGAGATTTTGGGAAACCAATTCGAAATCGATCGCATCGACGAGAAAACAGAAAAACCTCAAAAATTGAAACCATTCCAACAATTGATAGAAGCTGTGAAGGAAAATAAAAGAAACTCTCCCAGTTTTCATTTTAATTTCAATTCCGCTGAATCATTTGGATATTTTCGAGATACAAGCAAAAATTTAAGTCTTATTGTGGCGATTTTTGGGAACAATGACCAGCATCAGTTGGAAACGATTGCTCAACGAATCTCGGAAAAATAAATTTTCAAACAAATCTTCTTGTCATGTAAATCTTTAGACAAAAATCTAATAAATCCAAAAATGCAAATTAAAGTGTTTACAAATTATTGTCTAGTTTGAAATGACAACGTTACCAGAACCTTTACAGACCAAAAAAACCCTCAACACAAAACCGATCAAGGAAAAAGTTTAGGATACAGAAAATGACTCAATAGCTCTCACGTTTTGGACTAATTTTTTCGTTTGATCGTAACCTAAACTGCTTTTCTTTGCTTTTCAAGCACACTGCTGTTAACAGGTCGTTTTATATGCTGATCGTGTACCTGACTTGCTTTTTTTGTGGCATTGCTTACCGCAGAAAACGAAGAGTTAGTGTTTTCCCCCATCTCAGCATGGCACGCTTATCAAAAGTATAAATACCATTTTTGCTATTTATTGACTTAAAATCTTGAGTGAGACTGCGAATATCTGGCCACAATCAATTGGATTTGACAGAATCATTGGCGAATTTCTGATAGGTGATAGGTCTGTTAGATCTAAT